GCGTTATATACGAAATTGTTTTCGAATCATTTCCTTATGGCACTAACAGGAAAAGGCCTGTCTAATAGATGTAAATGATTAAAGTAAGATCAAATTTTGCATGTAGAATCAAAAGTCAATGATACGTTACAATTTTACAAGAATATTTAGTTCTAAAAATAACTTCTTATAGCATCAACAAAGCCAAAAATGTATACATTTCTTTTATCAATTTTAACTATCAGTAAAACTCGATAGTAAATCGTCTATGTACGCTATACCAAAATACAATCTGAACTTTAAAATGAAAACGTTAAATGCAATAACACGCCGCGATTGAAGTTTATAAAGTTCACTATTCTAGCCATCAATGTCCTGCCTAAGCCTTTCCTAAATACTTTATAAATAACCTCATTAAAACTTCACAAACAAAGGTCCACTCATAAGAAAGACAATCTACAATTCACCGTTCTTCAACAGCTTAACTGTCACGATCATAATGATTAACTAGACACTTAAAAACCTTTTTTTTCAGACAACCACTAAGTAAATGTTGAAAGTTTACTACAGAATAATAAACGTTAAGTACAGTTGTTAAAGCTTGGTTCAATAAAAATATAAGGGAGAATTTACAACATTCAGAAAACATGTTCACGTTCAAGAAAATCGTGAAAGAGAGCTCAGTATTTGTGTGTGTAATGAAAACGTTTGATAATTTTATAAGTTTTAAATATAAGTATTAGAGCGAACGGTATAAATTAATTTGAGTGGATTTATCGCAAATAAACGTCCGTGAAAATATAATGAAACTTACCGAATTCTAAGAGTTTTAAAGTGATTAGTGAAAATATTCACTGAAGATTTGAGCTCTTTTATTGGCATTGCACAGATGAGTACAATAATCTAAGTAAAGTCCTCAATTGATTTTATCAAGACAATCATGTTTGTGCATGTACAAAATGCAACAGAACGTTTTGTTTCTCTTATTGTCTATATATACTTGTTTCTAGCTAGAGAACTGGTGTTAGAGCTTCATGTTGAAAGAAAAAACATAATTGAATCCTGAGCCTTGTTATTGGATAACACAGGAAAAGCAGTATCGATTAAAAATCAAATATTTTCATCACGTCAGATAGTAAACTAAAGATATGGTTTTAGACGAAAATAACGTAACATTTATATGGTTTTATACTACATAAAAAGTGGATTACGAATAACGAAAATAGCTTTTGTTTGTGACTAAATTTTGGACGAATAGAAACCACTGAGCAATTGATTTTTTTTAAATATGAAAAAGTTCCAGTGAAAGATTACTTGTTGTTATTGGCAATCAACATCACATTAGCTGAATTCTTGCTCCTAGCGATCAGTGATGGTCTATCTGGTTTGGATATTCCACTGCTTTCTTGATTCTAGGTTCAAATTTGTATTTTCTACACAGTCGTTTTCTTAAATCAGAGTAAAAATGACGACTGGAATGTGTTGCATAAAACCTGGTTTACTTTCTATTTATCATTTTGTTACCTTGACTTTTACTTAAATACAAATAATACAAAAATACAAAAAAAACTGATCATATCGTTCTAAAATGTAAAATTGTCACGATCATTAAACTTCACTTATTTCTAATCTTTGGAAAACCATCAAAGATGGACAAGTACTAAAAATGTGAAACATGAATTTCGCGTGTAATGACCTATCATTACAAGCTAAATTCTTGTTTCACATTAATCCCATATGCAAAAACATGTAGTATATTTTAGATGTGCCTAAGCTAATTTGACATTGGAAAATTATTTTATTTTTATTCAGACTGCGTGATCTTAACCCAAAACTGTAAAATTGCATTTAGGCTATAATGTAGATTTCTCTTCAAGTGTGGCGGTACTACTTTTTCACGATAGTATTAAGTATCGCAATTAATCGTAAATAAACGTGAAGTTCAACATATAAAACAGTTTTCCAACTACATAGTATTAAACAAGTTCCCACATCTATTTAAACAATATGCAGTTCCGAATCTTCTAACTCATAAAGATATTGATAGTCGACGTACGATCTTAAGGTTTAAGAACATAAAACCGAATACAACTTTACAAATAACAATGAACAAAGAACTTGTTTGATATGTAGATTTTACTCTTATTCAATAAACAACAACAAGCCTCTTCTCAAGGCTTTATCTCGTATGTTCAAAGATCACTAATATCTCCTTACTCACAGTTAAAATGGGGCAGAGCACAACCTAGCGACTAGCCTATCAATCTGTGGATCATACAATTTAAGGTTCGAGACGCCATGTCGCCGAACACGCTCTGCAATTTCCGAGCTATAAAAGCTATAAAAACTACAAATCCCATTATTTGTTTCAAATTACTGGACAAAATCTTGTGGCGACGGTGCTCCTAGCTAGCTGTTCTCCCTCTGGCCAGTAGTTCAAGATAGGACCGACCATACCTAAACCCTTGGGGACTCTGATCAGACCCTTAGTCCACATTCGTCTAAGGTTCTATTCTGGTTGAAAATTCCAATTCCAGTTCGAACATTAATTTCTCACACTATTATGATTTATTTCAACCATAAAACTTCTTGTAGTATTACAGCTTATTGGAACTGTGATGTTTGCTAGACTTTTATAGAGCAGTTAAACTGTTAAAGTCATTAGATTTTTTAAGGAATATTTTCATCATCAAAGTTATCATACTATTAGTACTATACAATGCAATAGTGTAAAAACCAGCACTAGAGAAGAATTTAGAATTTCAGGTCTAACTAAAACGATTAAAATCACACTTTAGGGAAGTCGTTTTTCTTTACTTAGTCTTTTCCCATTTTGAATTAGAGATGAGTAGAAATAGCACCAAATCTTGCTCAAGAGGCCTTTTTTACAATACCAGAACTCGCAAGCTGACCAAACATAAATCTTAAATACCACTTAAATGCAATGTAAGACTTTAAATAAAGTAGTATATAAAAGGACATTAATACTTAACAAAAGTTAGTGCGTCACAGTTTTAACCGTTAAAGAAAACATGGTGTTACTATTCAGTTTAATTCTTAGTTTATCACATTATTATACTTTTCTCAAATGTTAACTTTATCACATGACTACTGCTTATTTCAAAAAATATTTGCAAAGTACCTTGCCAGAGAAACAGTAAACTTTTCAATCTCAAAAGAACATAAATATGCTTATCTGCTTTAAGCAGCTAATAATATATAGGACTTTAATAATGTTGATCCCAGAGTAGTAAGCTCAGACATAGTGTGAAATTAGTTAACAATAATTTATAGAATTTCACAGATAAAAAAACACTCAAGCTGTTCTGTAAAGGCTGAAGCTAAACCACCAGCAAGAAACATGGAGCTTAATAGATTAAAATATACTCACTCAGTGTTATCTGATATGTAGCTTTATCGATGAAAATAAGACCTTTCTATAAATTCTAAGATTATTTCCACATATGAAACGATTAAAGCTCATAAGACGAATAAAGTTGAAAACGTACGTTAAAACTGTTTACATCAAACTCAAAAACCGAAGGTCTGTTTTACGTTTCTACATTATCTTGTATCTCTCACTGGTAAATTGCCCTCAGTGTAAGACACTGGATAGTTTCGAAACATGTGACAAGTCTTCGGCTATTGGTTTTAACTTAAACAGTTTTATAAATGCTTTGAGGCTCATAACGTGGGTGGGGATTAATTAATAGACAATTAACAGGTTTCATTCAACAATAAAAATTATTCATTGATAGTTTTCAGCTACTAGACTATACCCTTCATCAAGCCAACCTTATGAGTTATAAGTAGTACTTAGTTTAAATTTGTATTGAGTATAGCCTGATTATTGTTATAATACGGTAGTCGAAAGTTTGCAGCGAATATATTTCAAGGTGGAGTAAAACGTGTTCGTTATTCATTTATTCAATATTAGAGTTTTAAGTTTTAAAAAGTTTATTGTTTGGTGATTTTAATAAAATCTTTAATGTTATTTTATGACAATTAACTATACAAATAAATATATATATATTATAAAAGAACTATTAGCCTAATTGCAACTTACTATACAAAACAATACAGTTGAATTTTCAACTGTTTTATTTCCAATAGACTTTACTAGATAAGATTTCAAATCACCAATGAACTACCTCTGGACAAAGTAGAAATATAAGAGTCTCTCTTTAGAATCTGCTGACTCTTTTTCTTGCAATAGAGACTTCATATAAACATTTTTCTATTTATTTCCATGACGTAATTATCATTTTGCGTGCAAGTGATATAAAATAGGACGTAAAATGTATTTTTAATTATGTTAGTTAAAACTACGATTCGGATTCAGCAAAGCCTATGGAATATCTTGGTCGCTTGCACTTCATTATAAGATAAGTAATAAATATCCTCAAATCTGACAAGAAACAGAATTTCTAAGCGAGAATTTCTAAAAACAATTGTTAAGTTATATTATTATATGTTGCATGATGCTTTACAACTATATAAAAGTCAGTAATGCCTTAGAAATTAATGTAGCCGAGTTAAAACAATTCCTTCTTCTAAAAACTGACTAAAGTGATATGATAATTTTGAAATACCCTGATAGTTAGAAAATGCTTCCTTTTTAGAATAGTACTTGAGCTAGATACTTTATTTTAATTAATTTACGCCAGCAAGTTGTTTCCCTGAAAAAAAATTTACAAACGTTTATACACGACATGTGGTGTGTCATATAATAATACCAAAGAGACTATACTAGAAGCAAAGGCTATAGTTTAATCCTATTCACACCTTCACATCTTTCTTCTCTCCTGTACCTAACATATTACAAATTTTGGGGCATTCAGAAAAATAAAAATGCTGTCTTTCTAACGTATGTACTGACCTTTGTATTTAAGGAGCAAACATATTTTATACATCTTACAAGTGAAACTATCTTCAGATTAAACAATTCTGTTCTGTCTGCACCCAACAAGATATTTGTTTGAGTTTCCAAAACGTCCAACTTGTAATGGAAAGTCACTCACCTCGTCCACTTCTGCCGACAAACCGCAGGTCATTAAATTTAGCCACGTGGTTTTTCATAATTGCTGAAGAGTTCCGAAGTTCGGCACAAAAGTTCTCGTCATTTCCTGCCCGTAGGGTTACCACCGTTCCGTCGGATACATCGGCCAGGGCTACCACTTTGAAAGATACGGGTAGAGTTTTATTGGATCGCCAATGTGAGGGAAGCGAAGAACATAACAAACTAGGGCTCCCAGTTCGCACTAACTCACCTGGATGTTCGCTTAGAGCCTCATGGAGAGCCCGCTCTCCAGGCAGAAGAAAGTCCGTCATAATGTCGGAAGTGTCGGCCGACGAGCCGAACAAATCTGTAGGTAAGTGCATGAGGTTACGAGTAACGTCCTGAACACGGTGGAGTAGCTGGCGTGTTGTATGTACTCTTGTGAATGTAGCTAGCAGAGATGCTTGTGATTCACATGAGAGAGCAGAAGTAAATCCAGAATCCTTCAATACATACGCTAACTTTGCAGTTTAGTGGTCCGGACCTCATGAAAGAATAGAAGCTGCGCATTACTAGTGCCCTCTGATGGTCGACTCGGTAACTTTTCTCAACAATATCCATCCGCGATTCCTACGCTTTTTTCTCTAGAACAGTGAATTCATATTATTTGAATAGGACAATAGATATACATAAATATTTATTTCACTGTTCATAAAAAGTATATACTATATAAATACCGATACAGCAATTATCGCACACCAGTAAGGGCAAGCCAAAACATACAAAAATATCAAAATTATATATTAAACCACAATAAATATATATATTACATAAACATTAAAACTGTGGTTTTAATTTTTCACACTTTGATTATGGCAAGATAAAACATTTTGTTTCATAAAATAAAAACAAACACTCCTAGTCAACTTATGTTTAGGCAAAATAGTCTCCTGTTTGCTCATTCGAATTGTGACATTTCACTTGTATTCAGCAAAGGTGTGGCATTATATATTTTCAGCTAAAGTCACTGACATTTTGTTTCTATTTGGAATATGGTTACCACAAAGAGTAAAGCTAATATTGTGCTCATGTTCCATATTTAAAATCAAAGAGTTTATACGGCCCTAACTTAACCTCGATCATTTTTCTGAAAAAAAAACTGTTTTCAGGTCTATTTTGGTATCTGGATACCCTTGCTAAAATGCGACACGTTCCCAGAAATATTCTTTAACTTCTCAAGGAGATTGAGATACTATTCGGTCAGTCCTTACTTATTCAATGAATGTGTCGACCAGAGGTCGAGCATTCTTATCTATTTGGATGAAGTAAGGTCAACTGTATTAGCGCATGAGAGAACAAAATATCATTTGATGTGTTTCTTATAATATAGCAATAACCAAGCCATTATACAGGATGTAAAGGTCATTAAAACCACAACTACATATTTTGACTTATATTGTATTTCCACTGGTTCTGCTATGTGAAAATAGATTGGATCTTGTTCCAGATTCTCTCCAATTAGTATATGCTTGCTTATTGTCCAACACAGAGCTACACAATGGGCTATTTGTGCCCTGCCCACCAAGGGCATAGAAACCCAGCCCACTGTATAAAGTATAAGCTGAACGACCATGCGCTAATAATTATCATATAACTGATAATCAAATCGTAATTTTATAAAAACACGAAAAGTTTCGGTTTCATTATTCAGGTGTTAGCTAAATTCTATACACGAAACACCTTATCTTAGAGAGGCCACAACATAAAATGTACATAAAGCAGTATTAAGGATTCGTTGAAAATACACCTCGAATTCTTGAAAAAAATACTTGATGATTTATCCGTTAGATTCAGCATAAACACAAAAACAAAATGCAATGTAATTTAAATTTACGGTTTAATTCTGAGTATGCAAGTCCACGAGAACGTACGAGTTTAGTATTTCGTTTATTCTTCAATTATTCACGAATTTCTGTGAGTAATGAAATTAATCTAATCGATTTACTTACGGTCACTGTTTCCTGAAGTATACATAAACTATGATTTCATTTAATTGAGTGAATGGCTTTATAGTAGAAATGTTATCGTAAACAATTAAAACTACAACGTATCAACCTATATAAGCAGATCATCTTATGTCAGTGTATAAATAACAATTACAAATTCAAAGTGAAACGGTTAATCTCGGCAGAGCACATGTTGCATTATTTAACATACTTGTTAATAATTATTTACAAAAAAATATAAAATTAAAATTAAAGATGCAAATTAAAAAAATTAATGTAAATGATATGGATAATGATTAGTGGAGAAAGAGAGCAATTCTGGGATACTTGTTCAAAGGTTTTTAGTTTTTTTTATCAGTATATATTAGAGATGTTTTATTTTTTTCTGTTTATATCAGTTTCATTTCATATAATTTTGATGTTGTTTCTCGATATGGGTGTTTGGTTTCCTTTAAATGTTCAAGACACAAAACTTTCTTTCCCAAATAATTATGATAATCTTGTGCCTACTTGCATTGTTCACATTGACTTCGCAGAAGGTGGAAACGAAATAGCATTTATTGAGCCAGCGTGCACCTTCATTATGTCTAATCATTTTTTTATTATACCATATTCTATATTACCATAGCATTTTGGAAGTGTAGAATACTTCAAGATATCATGCTTTCCTTTGAATTGTAGACTGTACTTGGTATATGTATGTCAGAAATATACCTTGGAGGTGTATGGTTTGCTGCAAATATTTCACTGTGCTGTTTTAAATTAATATCCATTTTTCAATTATTCTGCCTTTTAGATTATATTCTCTGTTTAGCTGTAGACTATTCAGATATTCCCCAGGCTTCTCAGAATAGTTCATACCTAAAGATATTTATTTTCACTGATATTCCGATGTCTTGAAAAATACATGGACAATCAAATGAATAGCCATTTTGCTGCAGCTCTGTATAACAAGTTTTCACTTTCTTGGTTCCTAAATCTGCATTTCTTGCAGATATATTGATTCAGAAATTGTATAATTTCTTTCTTTCTTTATATTCATCATTCGTCCTTACTCATGTGTGGTATTTACTGGATTTCTTTTCGAGTGCCAAGATAGGTCTGCAGAATAAAAATAAATTTGGTCAAGTTATCTATTATGAAACAATTCTGAACAACTGAGTCCACGAGAAAGAAATTGGGTGAAAATACAACGAATAAACTTTATTCGAACACAAATATAGTATACATACTTGCTTCATATGACAGATGGTCGTTTTTACTTAATCTATAATACTTTCTATCTAGATTGTCTTGGTTAAGTTCTTGTTCCAGACTGAATAAACATCATATTGCTTAAATAGAGCCGTAGCTTCCCCAGTGTGACCAGCACAGCCAACTTGAGTAATCATTTCCATTTGAAAATAAGGGAGATGTCACCCAAACTAACAGTAGAGAAAACTGTTGTCTGCTTTCATGCACGGAGTGAAGCTATATATTATTTCTCCCATCTGCACACCTGGTGTTATTTCACTGGAATAACACCGAAAAATAACTAGCTAGAGCGATAATAACGTAAAGACTTTCTTGACCATATGTTATGTGAAAAGTGTACATTCACCTGAATAACTGACAAATTTCAAAATCCTTTACGTTGAAATAAAATGTTAGAACATTGCATAAAACAGTTACACACAACTAGTCACGCTTCTATGCTTGTTTATTCTTATTCGTTGCCTACTGAAATAATTTTGTGTACAATTAAATTTAACACGAGCAATGACTTATGATGTATTTCAACGTTTATTAGATTCTGGGTCTGATTGTTTGTTGTAGAGTTGCTAATTTCCATTCTTTAGAAGGCACGAATAGTTTGTGAAGCTTTTCATGTCTTTATATTTGAATTTCTTTATTCACTCTTCTGCGTCTGTATTCCAACTGTTGTTATACTGCAGAACTCCTAAACGTTTTCACTCTAATTTCTTTCCCACCTTTTTATTTTTTGTTTGAATAAGGATCTGATTCCACTAATGATATTCCTATTACCTTCATGGAAACGTTTCTCTGGACTAAGCATGACTTCATTATGGAACTCACTCTCATTCAACGTCAAACTGAAGAGGACACATGACTTTGTTAAAACTAGTTTAATAAATTTCTTGTTTTCTGATAGTTTGTTCCATTGGCTGTGGTTTTTTCATTAACCTTTTAGCTGCTACACACGATATTATTGTATTTTATTGATACCGTTACATCCATGTTATACAAAATAAGGCTTCTGATGTAATGCCAACTAGAATCAATATACGTTCTGTGTACTGGTAATAACTTAGCATGGCAGGTATAACTGGGTCACTGGGCTATTTCAAGGTATTATGCATCTTTTAGTTATTTCTTAAAGTGTTGTCTCTTTGTCTCTACATTACGATTTTACATAACCTGGCAAGTTAGGTATTAAATCAATATGGCTGGAAACATATTTCCAATAACCTCAGGATCCCATTAATACAAAAACTGCTCAAAATAACTCAATCATATAATCTACGTTCCCAACATTAAGTCAAATTTATACTTGAGTAAGGAAGCACATTATGCTAATATAATAATAGGTAGGCAAAGAACGATTTATAAGCACAAGAAAAAGTTTTATTGATAGTGGAATATACTACATGTTTCGACAAAGCATTATTCTGTCTTCTTCAGGTACGTTCTGTACTAAGCAATAGAAGATTCATATATACTTACAAAAACAAAAGACACAGGGATAAATGTGACGGAAATAATGTTAGCAGGTGAGAGAATATAGGTAAAGGTCAATTCTGATCAAGTGCATGAACGGTAAATAGACCTTGTCAAATACGGCTGATGCTGCTATGGCCATTATCACGGTTTACTGAGATATTGTATTTTTTTATGATTTCTATAGTTTATAAACAATCTATCTCTTTTTTTTTAATTTCGGGTTGGTGTAGGAGAAGAAGTTTATCTCAAAGTATCTTGTGACGTATTTCAAACTGATGATATGTTAAGGCAGTTATCTGAAATTCACTTCTACGCATGTAACCTTGGTGTTCTTTCTTCCTTCTAAGGAACATGATATTTGTTCTGTGTGTTTCTTTCCACATTCACATGTGATACAATGTATGCCTTGTTTTTGTTCCTTTAGTATGGATTCTTTCTGGTTAGGTAGTAAAGTGTTTTGGTTGGATCTTGAAATATTGTGTTATCTAAACCAGCTGGCGTAGTCGAGTCTGTTACAAACTTCGAGAATTGACTTGTTAGCAAGTTCTAAGTGTTTTCTGTAGAGTTGGATTTCTAACTTGGAGATGTTTCCTCGGACGTCTTTTATGGTGCTCTTAAAACTGCAAACCCATCGAGTTGTTGTAGAACACTTGATTTGAATAAAACTGGAAATGACTTTGGAGGCTCTACAATTTAGTAGGAAGCGTAGATGTTCTAGTTTCTGTCATTGTTTGCTTCTTGGCCCATTGATAATATTGATACTTGAGTAACGAAGC